ACATAAATAAGAGTGTTTACTGGCAACCATTCCTATATAACAGCCGTATGCAACGCACATATCAAAACAAATGCAGAGAACTTATAACATATAACTTATTGTTATAAGTTCTCTGCACATGTATGCGAAGAGCACGCGCGATCACTGTTGAAACAACATCCAGTGAAACAATACATTATGAGATTTAACGGCGTTTACATAGCCAGCGAAGGCGGTTCCAAGTAATGAATCACGCACCGAAGCAGAGAACTTCTCTGCAAAGGCGTTAGGCTGCAACTACCCAACTCACTCTCCAGCCGTCCATAACTGACGACACGAGCTATCGACGCCGCTGAGAGCGGCGAAATGTTGCCAGCTGCCTGTGTGTTTGCACACTTTTAAACAAATTCATAATTTTCGTCAACAAATTTCATAATTTATGTGTTCGAATATTAACGAAAATCAAATATGTATTATCTATATGGTAACAAATAATTAGTTACGCATTTATTTTTCATTTCTGTTGAACAAAATTACGCATTATTTTCGATTATTTAATGTTACTTTAAGAAAGGCTATCTGGCAACCTTGTATAGCAACGAAAAATGAGCCGAGCCGGTTTTACGGAAAAATCAAAACTTCCTTGGTTTCTGCGACACAAACGTCAGCAACGCTATGGTAAATCGGTGACAACTTTGTGTTTACATGGCGCTCTCATAAGATAGGTTACTATGGACGGCTGGTACGCTCGTTGGGTAGTTGCAGCCTTAGTCCGATTAACTTATGTTATGTCCATATGTACATGTATTGTTAAATGAGAATAAACAGAGAACTTATAATAATAAAAAAGTGGAAATTCAATGCAACATCTAATCTCCTTCAAACCTAAAACAACAGCCATCGGAAAAGTCAGCAGAATTAAGTCAAATGATTTTCTGCCAAAAACAGGAACATTTTGTGCAATTGTTATATATGTATACATATTCCATTACTTCGGCAATTTCAACTGTGCTAAAATGAATTTAAATTAATAATATTAAATAAATTAAAAAATGTTAAAAAGTAATATTGTAAAAAAGTAAATTAATATTGAAAAAAAATCATCAGATATATTCATTAAAATGTATTTAAATAGTTCAGTAAAAGACGTTAATTATATATTTTAATAGAAAAAAATTGGAGTTAAAAATATTAAAATATTTAGAAAAACAAATTAAAAAATTTTAAAATATATTAAAATTATAAAATTAGAAAAATATGCATTATAAAAATAATTATTTTAAAAAGTAATTAAATATATAGAAATGTATTTAAAAAGCTCGATTTAAAGAAAAAAGTAATAAAAATATTTATTTTAATTTATTTAATTATGCCAACGAAATTTCAAAGTGATCAGTTGAGCGCAATTGTTAGCGGCGATTAATTTTTGTTTTGTTATAAGTTCTCTGGGCGCTTAGCAAATTTGAATAATGAGAAATTTACAGGCGCAGAGAACTTATCATAACGAGAAAGTGCAAATTATTTGCAACATCGAACCTGTTTCGAACATTTTCGGAAAAATTCGGAAACGGAACTCACCTCATGTTGAATAACAGTCGCCTTAAATTAGAGTTGTCAGCATACTTTTCATAATCGCCCATAAAACTAAAAAACTGCGGTCGTCTTTTATGCTTTTAGCATAGGTCATAACATAGGTGTAACATAGGTGTAACATTTTTTCGTAAATCTTTTTGAACATGACAAAATTTGTGTAAAAAAAACTAGCTAGTCTGTCTGACTTTTTTTTATCACAATTTATTGACACTGTAAGAATTCTATCATTTGTAAGAACTGCTCAAACCAAACCCGGTACTACACCAAGGAAGACGCACATCATTCGATTATTGACACTGAAAAGGTAACAAGATCAGAGAGCTATAAAAAGTGTAAAAGTAAATTGAAAAAATAATTTAATACTTAGCAGAAAATTCATTCCGATCATATGCAAGTGATTTTTAACTGAAAGCAAAGAAATCGTAGGCAATTAGTTTTCTACATACATACATATGTGAAAGTATTTCTTTTAATTTGGCCTTGTAGTCAAAGGTATAACAATTTAACAATTGCGTTTAGGAATTATCGCATGTATGCAAAGGTTGGCGTATGTATGTATGCATTAATGTAAATATAACTCATTTAAATTTTCGCAGCTATTATCTTTACATCAAACAAAACGCATTTTCCGCGGTTGCGATCGGTAAAACCGAGGAATGATCGACTAATAACCTACATCTCGCCACATTTCATAGTAGTCATCCAATCGGCCAAATAGTCCACAAATATTCTAAGGTACTAATGCACCTCATCTTTACTTTAAATGAAAAAACTTAGAAAAATAAAGCGGTGTTTTCTAATTCGTTCTCTTTTCTGTTGCATATTTCTTACATATATTTCAGTAAAGTGCACCTCAAATTTTGCTCTGTTACATTATTCGAAGTACGAACAAACAACGCTTAAATTTTTAAGTTGGCTGGTATCGGGCAAGTAACACATTTGTTTTTAAAGAAAAAAAATCATGTTATTTTTTTTTTTAAATCATATTAAATGAATAAATTAAAATTAAAATATACTGTCTGTTCCAATAATGAAATTATATTATTTTTTTTTTTGTTCTTTTATTATTTCTATAGCTTATGCCTGACTTAAAAATATACTACTAGAATGTTAATAGTCTTTTTTTACCTTTGGTATTTCGATGAGAAATACAGAATATTCTATAAGACATTCTTAAATGAACAACTTTATGTTGATTTCGTTAAAAACTCCTGTCGGAAGTCTGTCACCTACCATCCGCTCCGAAAATTCTGGTTAAATCTTTCCACCTACTTCTCACTAAAAACATCCACATTTTGCGGATATCGTTCAATTCTTAAGCTGGTTCAATAGAATACATTCAACAAGCCCGACCACTAATCTTTGGATTCGACTTCAGTCATTGCTTAATTGTTTCCTAGCAATAATATCCAAACTCTTGTAATGAAAAAGTGTCGAATTTTTCGTCAAGGTGAAACTGTGATACTGCCTCAGCTAAATAAAGGCATATTAGAATTTTTTGTACCAACTTTATTATGTTATTTATGAAAACACGAGTTGCTACTTTTTTTAATCTCATGCGTAAGGCATGTTTCGGTTTCTGGAGTAAAAAATGGTTCCCTCTTTTAAGCGAAATGTTCAAAAATCAGAAGTTTTCGGCAATTTTAACTTAGTTTTTTATGATTAAACGATTGAGATTTTTGGGTCATCAGAAGATTTACTCTACCTCATATTATTTTAAAACAATTTTTTTTTACATCGCAAGAGTATCAACCTTTTTTATGGTTTCAAGGCATACCCCGTGATTTGTCTTGATTACACAATTTTATTTTGAAGTAATTATGATATATAGACCAAAAATGTGGCAAAAACAATTTTGAGCTAAAATACGCAATCTTTGTTGCTGTTAGAGAAATTTGTTTGCAATATTTAAAACTAGGCGTCGATAAAAACAACGAATCTCAGGAAACAAACAATTCTGTTTCTATTGTTGACAAGTGTTATAAAGTAAATGATCTAATATTGTAATTTAACAAGTTATTTATAAAAATATTTATTTTTGCTACACGATACATAAAAATATTAACTTCCTTTTGACATTTTTTAAATTATGCGTGTTTTCTACGAATAGTTATGATAGTTTCTCAATAGAAACCATAATATTGTATACACTTATGTATGTATGTATGTATGTATGGTCATAGGAATGTTTAACCATTGATTTCAATCCGTTTTTCTCAGGCCACAGAAGTAAATGTAAATACTGTTTTTTGTTGGAAATATGTATTTAGTTATATTAGGTGGCGCGATGTGTTTTTTTTTAATTGACTTCAACGACTGATGACCGACACATTTTGCTGCACTCTTAAAAACAAATTATTGAAACAATATCATTTTTGCTCGCGAAATCCACTCAGCTCATGATATCAATGAAATCAATATAAATTTTTTTTGGCCAATCTCCTCTGCTTTATATGACTTACTAAAGTTGTAATAACCGTGAAATTTATATACTCTATCAAGCATAATATCAAGCGTAGTGAATTATAATAAATGACTTTTGCCGTTTTTTTTTTAATGCTAAACCACAATTAAAAAGGATTAAAATTTTTCATATTTTTCTTTACGTTTTTATTTAAAAGTGATAAATAACATTTAATAAAAGAGGGTAAAAGACGAAAAACATAATGTCAGATAACTGTGAGATGGACTGCCAAACGAGAATGAAATTTTCTTTAAATGAATTTCAACGGATGTTGTGTATTCCATGGAATAGCGGAGGACTTATAATAAGTTATTATAAGTTCTCTGGAATAATCGCTTATAAAACATATTTATAACACATATTAAGATTACAGCGATCTAATAATTTATAACGGGAATATAACAAGCTAGAGAGGAGAGGATGTTAATGTACAGCAACAGAAAATGTTAAATACATTTCTTTAAGAGCATTTTCTGTAAGTTACCGAAGCGCTGTAAGTTACAGAGCTGCCGATGTTAACAGCCGAATGTGAGACGCCGAACACATTGCGGCTCTGCCGTTATGCCGTTCTGCCATTCTGCGGTAATGCGACGGATGCGAATTAGCAGCTGGTTTAGTGGTAGTTCAATAATCGTTGAGTTCGCATTTAATGTCGGGAACTACAGTTCATAGTTCCGCTTGTGCTTCTGTTTCTGACTTTAAAAAAAATTTGTAAAGGTTGTTTGAAATTAATATCTAAAAATATATTTGTAAATGGATGTAATACATATGTACGTGCAGACAAACAAAGCAGATAGTGTAGTTCTTTAAATTGTAGCGCGGGCTATTTTAACAAAAGATCACAAGTGATTTAATTTGCCAGTGGCTTATAAAATGTTGCATAAATTCAAAAATAAATGTGATGAAGGATAAAATGAAGTAGGAGTGGAAAATGTTACAATAATATTGGTCAGTTTTTTTAATACGACCAAAATATAATAAATTCGTGTTGATTACAACAAAAACACTCAATTCAATTCAATTAATGAATCATTTTAAAAGCTGCTCACAACATATTTATAATTCAACATTTAATTTGTAACAACCAATAATAATCATATTATTATCATGCTTTTGATGCTAGTGATTTTGTTCCGGTATATATTTATGTACATACATAAACTACACACCTTCGCCGGGTTTATTATTTTTTAATTTGCAGACGATCTATTTTAAAAAACCACTCGCGACTCGATTTTGCCGTTGAGATCGTAAAATGCGAAAAGCTGAAAAGTCGTCGCTCGTCGCTCGTACACTCATTGCACTGCTTTAGCTGCCGCGATATCAGTCCCACGGAACCCTGAAACTTCGTGAAAGTCTTCGAGTCGCACGGGAAGGATATATATTTACATATATATTCAATGGTGAATAAATGTGAAAATCGGCAAAGAAAATCAAAATATAGAAAATAAGTAGAAATTTTATATGTGTACACAAAAAAATGAGCGTGTATGTTTCCGTTTTCTTCTCTTTTTTGCGAGAAAAGTGATGTGGAATTAGGAAATTGTGAATTGTGGCGGCAAAATTGGGGCAGCTTGCAGCGCGTAGTCATTCGGTAGGCCTCTTGGAGGCTAAAATATGTGAAAGAAAGTGTAAAAAGAATTGAAAATAAATTTTTCGTGTTTTTGAAGTATACAAACCGAAAAGTTCGGACGATGATGAAAACGATAAAGATGAAAAAAGAAATAGTAAATAAAAATCTAACGAGGTTTAGCTTTGGCCACTATCTAATTGGAATGATAAAGCAATATTCTCTATCAATCTTCTATTGAAGTAAAATTCTTCAGATCCTGATTTTTAAATATTAATAATTAATAGTAAAATTCTTTAATTTATGAATTTTCAATTTTATACACTCCAGATAATTTTTTAATTGACATTCAGACATCATCGATTGGTACAAACTTTGCTTGTTCGAAGCAATTTCTATAGTTTTGCCCGAATATAAACTATTTTACTGAAAAAAACTATGATTAATATCGGAATATTCGCATGAAACATGCATATTTACATAACTCCTTATGTGGGATACTTTTTCAATAAAACATAGTTATATTTGCATGCAGAATAGAAATTTCACATTATAGAATTTTTCGATCTGCACGGATTAAAGTTCTAACCAGAGCAGCATGTAAAAATATATTACATGAAATCGCCGCTCTACAGGTCGAGGAAAATACAAAAAACATTGCAAATTCAAGAACAAAGTCAGCTAAAATGCAACTTTTTGCTTATATATGTATGTATCTCATTTCTGAACAAAATAACTGTGAACGATCCATCGGGATACGCACATTAAACTTAAAACAATGTCACCGACATGTTTATGTACATTAAAACCAGAAAGTTTCCGGAAACTCTCTGCGAATTTGTGCGTGTTCCACAGAGTGGTAACTTGAGTTTTGGAAACAAAAGAAGTCGCATGGGGCCGAATTCGGTGAACAAGGTGGTTGGTCGATGGTATTGAACGAGTTTTTGGTCCTAAAATCATTTCGAACAACAGCTTGGTGCGATGGCGAGTTATCGTCATGAAAGATCCATGAATTGTTGGATCGGATGTTTTCGTTGGAAAGAATTCATGATAAACCAAACGCGAAAAAAACGATGCCCGGAAGGTTGTGGTGATTGTAGAACTATATTGTGGAGCGCTAACGTATGAAGATCTCTCTCAATCGAAAGTAATAAAATCTTTATGTCCATATTGAATGTTCGTTCAGTTTTGCTGTCTACAAGGCTGGAATATCCCACATACTAAGCATGATGAAACAAATGTCTTATTGCGGTCGCTGAGGATGTCAACTCCTACACCTTTCGCACAAACAGGAGTGCGTGTATATGGATTAAATAACGTTATTTAATTCAATGGCAACTATTGGGGAGAGAAGTATTTCGATATTTCTGAATAATACACAATCGAAGATTAGCATAAATCTTCTTATCATCAAATAATAAAATACCATTAAATAATATTGCCGAAATTTCGTGCAACAATTTTATTAACATAATTGCGGCCGCGGTAACCGAGTGTTTAGCATTGCGTACTGCCATTTGGAAGACTTGGATTGAAATCCTGGTGTCGTACTAAAAACAAAAAATTTATAGAAAATTAATTTAAATAATAAATTAAAATAAATTTTCTAATTGCGGTCGCCTCTCGCCAGGGACTGTCAACCCCTCCGAGTGTGTTTCTGATATGAGATAAAGGCTCCTAGTAAAAAAAAACCATCAGCCGTTCGGAGGCGGCTTTGTATAAACTGTAGGTTCCTCCATTGTTTGGAAAAACCACAAATTGGAGGAAGGGCTCGGCCGAAAATCGCTTGAGCGGTTATACTACATTTAGTAACCTTATTGAATTTCAATTGTATCAATTAATTTATTAATATCTTGTTGAATTTATACTATTTGCTGCTTAAATTGTTAACACGTGTACAAGGGCCATTCCATTCTTAGGGGGCTAATATTATTGTAATCCGAACTGTGTGAATGTCACCTTGTGTGTTGATTCTTTTATTCTACGTGAACATTTGCAATTATACTCCGAATAAATTATTTTCATCTTTCTTACTACCACTAAAGCTTAGAAAAATCCTTTCCAAACGTAAAACGAGTATAAACAATGTCAAAATGTTTATAAGTAAATATTTTGAATATTATCAATAAACCTCTGATGATAAAAAAAACTTCTCTTGTCCTATATAAGCTAGTGTTTAAGCGTGCAGCGTCTCATACTCATTATCCCTCGCATACTTTTAGGCATTAGGTTTTGCTTCCTGCCATTTGATGTACTTATGCATACCATATGCATGTACCTGTGTTTATACAGTCATGTATGCTTATATGCATAAGTGCAATTCTCAGGTGGATAGTGAAACGATAAACTTAAAGTGTCTAATAGATGCTAAACTAGGGCTGTTTGGCAAGGCCCTTATAAGGTAGCAGGTTTGCTTGCCCAGACGCTTAGTAGCATCAAGAACGGCTGAAACACGCTGGTTTCTAAGTGTTGTATGTTTGGCTAACCATAACCCATTTTAGCACTCTCTCGCAAGAATGGAATGACCTCGCCACATCACGTCTAATTTCTCAACCGAAGCTCACCCCCGCACTCCTTTTAATTTTCTCTACGGAGTTCACCTCCGAGTTCCTTGAGAACCTCTTTTTTAAATCACTGCCTAACTTTAGACATACTCTTTTGTTAGCTATATGCTAATATATACGACACTTACTCAGAAAGTATTGAACAAACAGGAATTAGCAAGCAATTGCAAAAACAAGCAGCAATGAAGCTGTTTCCACATTAAGATTTCCCATTGCAAACTGTGCCACATGTTGATTCCACTGCATCACAACGAGCAAATTAACCTTTGGCCATTACCTTTATTAATTAATTCAATATTTGAAGTCAGCGAAAATCAAACGTCACATTTTTATTAACAAATTCGAGCACGAGTTTGCAAATTCTCTCTATATGAAATGTCAATGTGTTATCTCCTTGAAACGCGTTTATCAGGAACACTAACGATAAGGAAGTGACTTCACTTCAGATACTCTTTGTACTGATTTTGGTAATATATTTATAGCTAGCAACTTTTTATATGTTTATTTTTCATTGTTAATTAAAATTTTTCGCTCACAAATTATTTTTCACAAATATTAGTTGATCTGTGCTAAAACTTACACATACATATATACGCAATGCGATTATAGCTCAAGGAACATGGTCAATTAATATGTGAATTAAATTGAATATAGAACTTTTAGTGATGTTCTCAGCTCAGCAATTGCTTTGCAAAAATATTATAACAATAAGAAAATAATATGCATATTTTTTTCTATTTTTAATCCCATCTCAAGAAAGCAATTTTGTCCAAGTGTACAAAAAACACGTCTACGTACATTTTTACTTACGTTTGTTATAATATTCTCCGAACAGACTTTACCATAAATTACTTTTTTAAAAGGAATAATTTGTCAGTATCAGTTAATAAAGTAGCGAATACCACAAATTAGAATTTAATATTTGTGGTATTCGGTTAGTCTAGCAGAAGTTTGTTATACAGATATTTCCTACGGAAATTCGATAAATAGCGAGAACACGCCTTTTGCATGATTGTGGCAAATTCTATTCAAACACCAACAGTCGAGAAAGCGTTTGTTTTTTCTGAGAGCATGTTAATATTTTACTTTCGGATTGGGAAATTTAAAAAAAGAGTATTAAAAGTTGTAAGGTGAATTCATAAGAACTTAAAATAAAACTTTGAAAATTGATTCCCGAGCCAATTAATACTAAACTAAATATTTATTATGTATTTGGTAAAATAATCGCTAAACATTTTGTTATTTTAAAAGTGATCTTTTATGATTTTTAATCCATAATTCTTTGCTTTATCATAAATTCAAACAAACCATTTTTTTCTTTTTGTGAGAGCGAGCCATTTTTAGAAGTGTTTATTGTTGTTATATCTATTGTATATTATTAGTTCATAGAAAAGTTGCATTTTGATGTGTAATCTTTTATTGTGTTTCATCGAAGGTTTAGAGTTATGAGTATTAAGAAATTGGTTACATAAATAGGAAATAGGAGCAAAAATACATATGTACATATGTGTATGATAAAATTAATAAGATGTATCAGTGTTTTAAGACAACCTTTCATTTATTGCTTGCACAGACAGAGCTGCAAGGTTCAATTTTCTTTCTTGAAACTAGATAATTGCAGCACTTGTATAAACATTAATAATCTCTCTATATCCACAAATAATTTTTGAAAAGTTATATGCTTTATTATTATACAATTACATGCATATGTACATATGTAAAGACAGTCCGAAATTGTTTTGAGAAATCTTCATTTCCATCAAAAAATCTTTAATCAATTTATATCACTAAATGGTTGTTTGACAAAACAAATTTCAGAAATCAGATTTTATACAATACATATGTATGTATGTATGTATCTCAAGAAGAATTCTTCTTAGAGCATACGAATTTTAGGCGCAAAAATTTATATAGGATCTGCTATTTAATATAAGTATATATATTTATATTAGGAAATATCATTCTTATCAATTTAGCGGTCTTGCCCAAATCTACTATTAGGTGATTATTAATACATGCATATACATATGGATGTGTGTGTGTGTGTGTGTTTGAAAGTGCAACATAATATGCGAGCTCTTGAAAAAAATGTTATACATTTTTAATGAAGCATTAAACTTAAAACAAAAAATATGCATACATACGTATATGGAAAGTAAAGTAAGTAGTGTTATTTTACATTCATATATGTATGCATGTATGTACGTAAAGTGAAACACTTCAGTGAAACACTAATGAAAAAACTGTCATTCATTTATATCATGTACTA